AAAATAAAAAAAAGATGTTGAAAATATGAAATTGATGGATAAATAAAAGAAATATGGCTTGACTGGCAAATCATCTCACCAAATAATATACAGCGCCCAAAGGATAATTATATTTTGAGTAAGTAAAAAACACCAGAAAAACTTGTGATTCCTTTCGCCAACACAAGTTCCTAACCAGGGACAGTGATGGTCATAYCGACGCACACACTTCCCACAATCCTCACAGTGCTTAGCTCTTAACGGCTGAACTAAWGAACAATAACCACATCGGCGCAATCGGCTACCAAATGGTGGGCTTGCAAGGATTGTGCATGTTTCTTCTGTGTTTCCTTCTTCCTCTGACTGGCTTTCTGCTTCAGCTTCTACTTTCTATAAAATATTTTCAAATGATAACAACACAGGGTTTTAAATAAYGGCCGGTCAAAGGACAATGTCCTTCCAAATTTGCTAGATGACTGGCCAAATCAGGTTTTGAAAGGACATAAATTGACCTGCAACATTTTTAGACAAATAMAAAAACAATCAATTCTCAATAAATCTTTTACAAGCCATTAAAATGCTTGCCAATCTTTTTAAATACAAAAACCTATGAATCAAAATAAAGTAAAGGTACAATAAAAATAAATTTTATATTTTTTCCTTTCAAAAAACTCGACATGACCTTCCAAAAAAAGAATTTGGTAGAGGACATCTTGAACTGCATATGTCTGACCATTATTTTGAGCTCTGCACTATGAAAAATGGTACTAAACATGCACAAGGCCTTCTACAACTTAAGTGAGTCCTAAAAACCTCTCAGACATAATTAACTTGTAGAAAATGATTTTATCTATTGAATAGTGTCAAGGCTTTTAAGGAATTGTATTTATACATACTTTTTTTTATTTTACAAGACAATTTTATTAACAAAAAAAGGAATTACAAAATTGTGCACATTTGAGGTGAATTTCACAAGATTGTTTTCCTTTTTTTTCTTTGACAAGCAATAACATATTTCTGCTACTATATATAAAATAGATGTATAAACAGTGCCATTAATCAGTAAAAAAAATGAAAAATTGAAACTGAAAGGTCCCCAGCTGAAAACAGCAGACCTTTAAATTAATCATGTGAAAGCCTGAAAGATGATTTTTATAAAAAAAGTATGAAGCTGCTATATTTACTCTTTGGATTTTAAATCAGTATTCCCTGCTAGCAGAGGCTTACACGGTAAATTCTGTCTAATTTACCGTGTAAGCCTCTGCTAGCAGGGAAAAATCAGTATCAAATTTCCTTTTGAAAAAATTGTGGTGACATTAATCTATTTCCATTCAGGAGCAAACAGCAACCTTAATTAGCGAAMGACTAAAATGACAGACTAAAATGCCTCAAAATAAAATCCCACAAAAATAGTCTCTTTCAATGCTCTTCAGAAAGCCTGACAAAAGCAAAGACTGCAAAGAAGTCTTTGAAAACTCATGGCAAGGATTAAATTTCAGAATCACTGCAATCAATAATTATTATAAAAATTATATTCAGTGAAATATTTGCATTTCTATTTTATAATAAAACATTTTCAATTAACACAGCACTGTTTTAATATTCTCCTACTAAAAATACATACATATAAGCTAGAAAGTGATAGTTTTCCTCAATATACTGATACAAACTGTTTCAGACACGTCAAAAGGAAAACAAGGAATACGTTCTTCAATAATTGATCAAAATAGACCAAAGATTTCAGTCGCCCGGAGGTCAGATAAGTTTTTCGATAAAGGAATTTTTATGTGAAGAAATTTACGGTAAAAAAAAACTAAACAGCTTCTCGTTCTTGCCACTTGATTAGAGGATGCAACATGTGCTATTATTAGTTTCGAAGTTAATGTTACGAATTTTAGCTCAATAATATTTTAGTTTTGATAAAACTACACACTTACTTCGTATGAAATCAATATGCTGTTTTGACTTTTCACTTCCAGATAGCCAGGATCGATAAAACTGGCAACAAAATAAAATATAAAACCGACAAAGACAAGTCCAAGAAACAACGAAGCGTAAATCCAATGTCCCTCAAACACCGAACGTTTCAATTCTGTTGACAGAAAAATTTGAGAAATTACATCAAAATTTCAGGGGAAAAAAAGATTCAAATTCAAATTGACTAACCTGTATCCTTTAATAGTAGGATAAGGACAATCCCTACTGTTATAAAAACGTGAAAAAATCGAGAAAAGACTCTTTCTTGCCAATGTTTGGCCGCCATGTTGACATGATTAATCGTTCGACGAGTTGGAAAACAATAACATCGCGGGCTCAACTTTATGAAACACTAGATAGCACTCAGGGAGGTAGGGTGGGGAGCCAGTGTCATGCAACATTTTTCCCATTTTCAATTTCAATATTTTTGTGAAATAATGC